AGATAGATAGTGTTCGACGTGATTCTTTAATTTGACGTAACTTTTTTATTTATGAACCGATTGACATGAAACAAACACTAAAGCATAACTGAAGCAGACCACAATATATTCGTGAAAACCGCATCCAAATCGGATAAGCCGTTTCTGAGATTAGCGTGAACAGACAAACAGACAAACAGACAAAAAAAAAGTTAATCACATTTTTGGGTTCGACATCGACATAACAATAGCCCCTGCTATTTTTTTTATTTTTATTTTCAATGTACAGACAGCACTTTTCTACAATTTTATTATATGTATTTTTTTTGGCAAGTACCCCATTAAACCTCTCGGTCGGCAATCGCGCTTACGACCACTCAACAGACTAGCAGCAAAACATTAAATAATATAAGTCTTTAATTGATTATGTTTTTTAACTAAGTCACGTAACTGTAGCTTATTATACGGACCTTGTGGAATCTAGAACAAATTTCCGTGCGTTTAGGCGCTTTTGCCATACCTATTATTGGAAGCAAGTATAACAGCTCACACATAGGACCCACTTAGTTTTTTTGTCAAATTTCCGTGGTGCTTGGCGACTGGGCTTCACCCAGTTGTACAGTCTCTTCTTTGTGCCTTTAGGCTTAATTCATTCTGTCTCCTGCCGTAATTCACCGAGGGAAGTGGAAACTATAGTTTTTTCTTCTTCTCCTCCTATAATATCTTCTGATTCACTTCGTTGCGGGAACCAAGACAGTTACTCATGTCCCTGGGACGCGCCGCACTTCAATGTTCCGGTGTTGTCATGGTTGTATCTACTGTAGATCCTGGCTTACAGGAGTTGCAGCGGTTTTGGGAGGGAGTCACGTAACTATTTGACGCTTGTTGTATCCTGTCATGCAATGCTACTCACGAATATGAACCCCCAGCGCGGCTTGGAACTAGTCAAATCACCACGTATACCTAATAGTTACGTGTGTAAGCCGTAAACACTACATACGAAGGTTAAGATACAATTTTTAATCGATATAAAATAAATAAAGAATAAGTTGGTTAAAATTCCCTATCTCAAAAACTACTGAAACGATTTTGATGATACTTTGATTACAACGAAAAAAGAATTACCTAGTTAAATCGGACTTATAGTTCGAGAGATATGAGGGAACAAACAAGCTTAAAAGCGTACAGACAGACATACATACATATATACTTAGGAAATTTGGCATATTTATTCTGACGCTGATATAGATTAACATAATAATATATGAAAACTGGGCAGTTTTGAAAATATTACATACACACGGGTCGAATAGGGGAGATGCCTAATTTTTATTTTAATGTCCGTCTGGTAGATTATTTTAAATCATTAGATACATATTTTGAATTTTCTTACTGAAACGAATACTTTCAACGATATATTTATTTCGAAAGGTCGCGTGACGTCACTTCTATGTACATTTTATACGTAGAAATGACGTTTTAGTCCCCACTCCTTAACTTTGATTCGTTTTACCTAAGTATTGTTTTATAATACGACAAAATTAAAAAATACGTGTCTAATAATTTTTCATTACCTAACTTACGGACTAATTACATTTTTAATTTTCATACCCTGTCATCATTCCAATTGAAAACCTCCTTTTTTGCAATCGGTTAAAAAAGAATTTTTCAGTTTGACTTCTATGTATATTTGTGAGCTACTTATTATCTCGCGATTGAATGAACAGATTACGATGCGGTTTAAAAAACTGTTTATTGCACTTACAAGGTGTCAATACAATCTAAAAAAGAATAAACTAGAATAATTTATTTACATTGAATGTAGGTACATAATATAAGGTCTTACAAATTTGAATCTTAAAAGCTATGAACATAGCGGTCTATAATACTATGTAAGTTATCTCTAAGACTATTATAATTATTAATGGATAACATAATCCTAATAATATACCTTAAACAACTTACAATAAATCAGTCTATATGTTATCGAAAAAAAAATCTGACACAGAATAGTAACACTTTTGTACTAACAAAGATGCAAGTTGTTTTTTAAAGATTCTCAATGGTTGCTCCTTAATGCTACTCGGGTTGATGTCTTTTTTTCTCAAACGTAGTAAATAAAATAATTATTGTTTCAGTTATTAGTTAGTTCAGCGCAGACGTTATACCAAAGGCTACATCTCCCACACATGTCGTATCCTGATGTCGCAGAGGCAGCATTAGAAGTAGGACCCTTCGTAAGGCTAAGGAAATACAGTAAATGGTTCAGGTAAGCATAACCAACGAAGCCCAATTACCCCCCCCCCTTCCCCAATTGCTGAATCCCCAACAATCCTCAAATTCCTAATCCCAACAGGCCGGTAACGCACTTGTAACACCTCTGGTGTTCCAGGTGTCTATGGGCGACGCCAATTTCTTACTATCAGGTGATCCGTCTGTTCGTTTACATACAATAACACAATAAAGTCAAGGCATGTTATCCTCAAAAAGGTTAATATATTATTATATTAGCTGCACGCACGACTTCACCTGCGAGGGAAAAGTAGCCTAAGTGGCTCCTTATACATTAGCTACCTGTCAATAAACGTCCCGTCGAAATCAGTCCAGCCATATTATAGATTAACCAGAACAAACAGATAGACCAAAATTAAAACAAAGAAAGAAATGCATTTAGGTATTTAGTAGCAGCAGGATTCATCAATAGCCCATAAGTGCCTACTGCTGAGCAAAGCCTCTTCTTAGACGGAGACAGTGTGACCATTAATCACTATGCTTGCTCAATGCGGGTTGGCGATTTAAAACTCATAATTTGATTAAAGGTTTCCTTACGATGTTTTCCTCCACCATTTGTCAGTGGTCTCTAAATAATCTTAGAAAATGCATATAACTTGGAAAAAGTCACATTGGTACGAGCCATTGGTAGGTTTCGAACCCGCACCCCGGCAGAATTGCCAAGACATAAAACATATTGGTGCATGTAAGTATCGTATGTATATTCATAAATCATTATTTTTAAATTTTATGTTTTCAGATATACAGTGGACTTTGTGATTTGTTTAGACCTATTTGGAGCTTGCTGCGTCTACCAGATCATTATAGCGAAGACTATACAGCAGGTTGTGCATACAGATACGGAATTAGAAGATCTGTCTTATTTAAGGCTTTATGTCCTAAGTCTTCTGGTTCCAATTCTATTGCTGTGCATGATCAGAACGTTAAAGTATTTAGCACCGTTCACTTTAATCGCTGATGTATTTATTGGTGAGTGTTAGTCTGTGGATAAAGTCAAAGTCATTAATTTCAATTAGACCAGAAAGGCACTTTTGAACGTCAACAAAAAATTTAAAGTGAAGCTATTTACTCATTCCAAGGTGTAGATTCCTATGGAGAAGAACGAGCAAGAAACTCAATAGGTTACTCTTTTTCAATCAGGTTCACAATACAATTCTATAGTTAGTTTTGTTCTTTGGATTGTGCGAGAACAAAGTATACTAAATAAAAATATTTAATAAAGTGAAAGTCAAAAGTCAAAGTCAAAGTTATTTATTGCAAACATAGGAAATAAGTACATAATACAGAATGAAGCATACATAATAATAGTGCGCTCTGTTTCGTCTGTCGGCATGCAATTAAGAAAAATGATCAGCTTATAAATGCCGCGGAGGAGTTAACGTATTGCTACGGCTCTGGCTCGAAGTGCAGGAGTAGCAACTGGCTAATTTTTGGTCAATAAGAGTCTGACACACCCTCTCGCTTCACTCAAGGTGAAGAAGTCATTGGATGATCCCCCCCCCCCCACCTAAATAAAGTAATTGATATAGTAATCATCATCAGCATTATCGCTTACCAGCAGGCGAGATAGTTGTCAAACGTCAGCCCAACAAATATGAAAAAAAAGAAATGATAAATTCCTTCTGGTTACAGTGACGTGTGTTGTAGCAACAATAGTCTACAGCCAGCAGACAGCCCCAAAAATCTCAGAAGTACCAGCGTGGAAGGATGTCATTGGATTTTTCGAGTTCTGTGGCATTGTAACGTTTAGTATGGAAGGAGTCGGTGTTTCCTTACCAATTGAAAATAACATGAAGAATCCGAAACAATTTCCTATGGTTCTATGTGCTGGTAATGATTATTTCTTCATCATTCATCTATATCTTAAGTACCACTAGAGGCAGTGAGGCTAAGGACACACGACGCGATTTTCGCGGTTGCGGGCCCAATGCCTTTGTAGCATACAGATAATTATGTTATAAAAAATCAAAGCAATTTCCATGGCGCGTTGTTCCCGCGGCGGTCGTCGGTTGCGATTGTTTGCGGTTGCGGCAGCTAGCACCCACGCGCTCTGCGATCGGTTGGCGGGCGCAATGCGATGACCGGTCTGGAACTCAACTGATTGTTTAACCGCCCACCCGTCTTGCGATAGTGAACCGCCAAGTTTGGGGGCGATAATCGGAACCGGGATCGTAGAAAACTGCATAGCACCACCACGGCGGGCGCAGGAGAAGATTGCGCCGTGCATGAGTTAGCCTTAGGGACTTATTTTAAAGTCGTAAAGAGGCCTTAATAATAACTATTGCACTTTTGTTAACCAGGTATGACCGTGGTAGTCTCATTCTTGATACTTGTTGGATTTTTCGGCTACTGGGGTTTTGGGGAGAAGTCAATATCACCAGTTACATTAAATTTCCCGTCAGAAGTGTGAGTATATTTATTTTTAATATTAGCTAATAATTAAATTTTTGACTGCCTCGTTGGCCGAGTAGTCGCAATTGTGACTGCCGGGCAGGGGGTCTCGGGTTCGATTCCCGGGTCTCGGCAAACGGCTGTCATCATTACTCTTTTAAAAAATGTTTTTTACTATCTCGTTGATACACTAGGTATTTGATTCTTTTATAATAAATTTCCCGATTGATTTTGATCATGATGGCCAGTCTGTCTAACTAGCCCACTGCGCAGGAGACATTATACGTGCACAAGTGTGTGCGCAAACACAGATGCTCTCGCTGTTCCCTCACTCTCTAAACCCGATCAAGCGCAGTACCAATGAGTTTACATGCTTTCCGAGGCACGGGGTGAAACACCGCCGAACTTCCTGATTCCAGGCCAATAATGGATCCTTTTATAATATCACATCACGCCTTTTAACCCCGAAAGGGTAGGCAGAGGTGCATATTACGGCACTTAATGCCAGTGTATAAGGTAACATAACACCTAAATTTCACTATTTATGTTATGAGTCCAATGTAATAGGGGGCGAGCCTATTGCCATATGCCGGGCACATTTTCAGCCTCCTTCCTCCTTTTATATCAACTGTAAAAGTAATAATTTCAGTTTTATTTTGCAGTTTCCCAACAATACTGAAAGTATTAATGGCCATTATGATATTTGTGACATTTGCTCTCAATTTTTGGGCTCCATTTAACTTGGTATGGCATTACGTGTCGAAGAAACATAATCCGAAAAGATATTGGATATGGGAGCGAATTTACAGGGCTACCTTTATAGTGATTATCACCGCATTAGCTATTGCCTTCCCGAACATAGGAAACCTTATGGGATTGGTAAGTATCACTACATCTCATACTTATTACTTTTTTATTATTATTACTAGCTTTTACCCGCGGCTTCGCTCGCGTCACAAAAGGATAAAAAGTAGCCTATGTGACATATACCAATACACACAGCGCCATCTATACCAATAATTTCGTTTTCCTTTGAGAATATCATTTTTTCCGGGAAGGAAGTAAGGATTTTGTATAAAGTTGATTAATCCGTTGTTTATTTGTTAATTGGAACGCGCTAATCTTTGGAACTGCTGGTCCGATTTAAATAATTCGTGCTATGAAACTGTAAATAAAACTAATCAAACTGAGACAAGTGGTTCTCAAAACTAGAGGCATCCAACCTAATTCGAACCTTTAAATGGGGTGGATAGGAATCGAGAGGTGAATAGGGACAGAAGCGGGGTGAATTCTATAAGGAAATTCTTCATAGTATCGATTTACCCATCTTCTGTCCCTTTTCGCCGCTCAAACCCTATTCACCCCATTTTACCGTATCACATTTTTTGTCATTAATATAAGTTTAAGTAATATCAAAAACATGCCTACTTGCGTAGTTTTTTTTAAGTTAAAAAAGATAGGAAGTAAGCAGTGATGTATAAAATACCCAATACAAAGTATCTGAAATACAAAATGCAAGATACTTTTAAATTAAGTATTTCAGATACCAGATACAAAATACTATTGACATTGGTATTTGAAATACTAGATACAAGATAGGTATCTTTAAAATACTTTTTTAAATGAATTCGAGTTTCTTTACTATTAAGGACAATGCTCACGAAGTATGAAAAAACTCAGGGCTGGCGCAAATGAAACTTCTCAGAGAAATTTCAGATTTTTAGTATGGTCCTAATAATAAAATGCTACTAAGAAATTGCTGTGTTAGTAGCTCATTTCTTTTCGTTTGCGCCAAGCCTGGGCTTTCAGACCATTGTTATTTGTAAATATCAGCTTTGAGTCTGATCATATTTTATTTTTATTGATGAAAAACATTTTAAAAGTATCTTATCCGCAAAAGTATTTCTAAAATACTAAGATATAGAACGAATGTGTCTAAATACAAGATATAAAATGGAATTTTAAAAAAAATATTTCAAATACAAGATCGAAATACATATTTTGTATCTTGTATCTGTATTTCAGATACTTGTATCTCAAATAAGTCACATCTCTGGAAGTAAGGTTATATTTTGTAGGTACTTCATTTGTGTTCTGTATTTCTTTTTCAGCTTGGAGCATTCTGCTTATCTAACATAGGGTTTATATTCCCAGCCATAATAGAGTTGTTAGTCGTTTGGGAGACACCTGGTTTGGGAAAATACAATTGGCGCCTATGGAAAAACGTTTTTGTAATATTAATTGGAATTTTTCTATTCGTAGCTGGAACTTATTCTAACGCAAAAGGATTAATTTTAAATTTGTAAATTATAAATATTTTATTCAAATGGTTATTAGTCTTATTTCTTATTGACCTTTGACCTTTGTCTACCTGTACTTGTTGGACCTGTGTGCAACACCCGGTAGTCCGACATGTATACCGTTTCTACTCTTCGGTCAACATTCATATCTACGCAATACTTCAACCAATTATTTAAGAAATATCTTTACAGATTCATCATCATCATCAACAGCCTTGTCAAAATTTACTGATGAGGTCAATGAATCTCTCAATGCCAGAAACCATGTACTTTTGCTATTCATTGACTTCAGTAAGGCTTTTGACACGCTTAAACATAACACGCTGTTGACAAAGCTTGAAAACTCTGGGATTCGGGGGCCAATGCTTGGGTGGTGTAAAGACTACCTGAACAATCGGAAATACACTGTTAAGATCAGTACTGAGATGAGTGATGCTGTTGATGTCACTGACGGGACAGCTCAAGGCTCAGTAATTGGGCCTTTGCACTACCTGACTTATGTTAACGACATGGAGCATGTGGTAAATCACTGCTCAATTTATCAATATGCAGATGACACATGCCTTGCAGCTGCCCACAGAGATGTTAATATAGCAGCGCACTGGTTACAGGAAGATTTTACTAGAGTCTCTAAATGGGCACATGATGCTGGACTGGTTATTAACTCCAGTAAAACTAAAATAATACATGTCCATTCAAGCCACTTGAAGCTCATGATGCCTTTCAGTATTGTATCACATAGTCACGGTTGTCTTCACTCTACGCGGCGAGGCGCGTGTCGTTGCGAGGAAATTGACCAGGTAACGCACCACACGTACCTGGGACTAATCGTAGACAACCGTTTCAACTGGTCTTTTCATGTCGACTTAGTGTGTGATAGGTTACGGGCAATATTGGCTAAGTTCTACATATTGAAACCGAAAGTTCCGTTTAAAACACTACTTAGCATGTACATGGCCTTGGCGGAATCAATTATTGCATACGGAATCACAAGTTACGGGCGTACCTTTAAAACACTTATTGAAAAGATAACTAAATTACAGGTTCGATTTCTAAAACTTATGGTCCCGAGTAAAATAAAAGACAAATGCAGAAATAACGTCACAGAATTATTTAAATATTGCAAAATATTACCTGTACAGTTTCGATTTCATCTAGCCTTCTTGAGTGAACAATTTAATAATAAAAGTATTCAAGTACCCATTTCGCATAAAATAATCACTAGGAATATTACCAAAAATAAATTAATAATACCTCAAGTTAAAAATTATTATGGCAGACGAACTTCTAAATTTATAATCCCCACAATAATTAATGAAATTCCACAAAATATCAAATACGAAATTAACTCCAAAAACTATAAACAGAAATATAAAAAATATTACCACAATATCATAAATAACATGGTCTAAAATTATTCACAACCAAAATGTAGGAAACAGCCTGTATATTACAATTTTTTAAGTTGACGAGAACCGGTTACACACTGAGAACTCATAATGCGAATGTAGCATATTGTGGGGTAGACTGCAAAAGTTTAACATTATCTAGTGCCGTGTGTGTCGGTATCGGTTTCTTTGAGTACTTTGTTTCTTTGCAATTTTAATGAGTGCGTTTATGCTTAGCTCATGGATGTTTACTGTTACTTGTAAAATATCTAACGTATCTAAAATGTTATATCTTTGTCACTTATTATATTAACGTAATTGTCATATTGAAGGGGTTTATAAATTTATAACATAAAACTTGTTAAGCGAATGTGAGTACCAATACAAACCAGCTGTGGTTTAATGGTGCAAATAAGAAATTTTAAACTGTACTGAAATGTAATAATAAATAAATAAATAAAAAAAAAACCACTGCTGCCCTGCTGTGAAGGAAAATCCTTCACCGTTTGTCAGTGGTGTCTGAATAATCTTAGAAAGTACATATGACTCAGAAAGAGTCACATTGGTACTTGCCGTTGGAAGATTTTGAGCCCGCACCCTCATGCATTAGAAGGGTCTTAAACCTCCGGGCCACCATGACACCCAGATTACAGTTTTGTTAGGTACTAAATGTCTGTATCCACCAAACCATTTTTTTATGGAATAGGAGGCAAACGAGTAAAGGGATCACCTAGTCGATCACGTAATCGATCAGCGCCGCCCATAGACACCCGCAACACTAGGATGTCACAGGTGCGTTGCCGGTCTTTTAAAAAGGAATACGGCCTTTTCTTGAAGGGTTGAAGGTCGTATCGATTCGGAAATATCATCGACGAGATCATTCCACAGTTGCTATGCGAGGTAGAAAACTAAAACTAAAACGCACATTTATGTGCCAACCAATACATATGATGGTGATGAATATGCTGTTGTGAGGATCGATGGCAAAAAGACGCGACTGATACATGCTTTGGTTTACCTACCAAATCCTCACGAGAATTGTTAAGATTTAGAGGTTTGACGGATCCTGTGTGAGAACTGAGGGACTTTTCATTTTATGGGTAGTAATTTTATTATCCTAGGACCTTAATTTTACGAATACCCAGTTTTGTTGTCGGTGCAGACGTGCATGTAAAAGCAGTGTCGCCTAAAGGCGTCGCTGATGACGTTAGGCCATTCATTGTGACACTTTTTTGTACCCTTGTAGGCGATGTTGACAGTTAACATTCGATTTTGATTGAGTAGAAAAAAAACAATACATTATTTTCAAAAAATACATTTATTTCTAGAAAAACAAAACTGATTACAATAAGTAGGTATAATAATATATATCATGTAACAATCATATATATATGAGCATAATATATTTATCGATCCTCTTCTCAAGACAAATCGTAATAATTTTGTCGTTGAATATTAATTATCCCAAATGTATTTTATATGGAGTCGGCGTCACAGTATTAGTATATAGTTCCCATGGTTCTCAGTCATAACATTGTTACACAGAACCCATCAAATTTTGGTATTTAAAATAAGGATTCTAAAAACTTTAGTCGTATATTTGTAGGCACGCGATACAAATTTCATCATTTTTATTTGGATAAAACTAAATAAAAATCATGTTTTGCATTTAGTGTCAATATGACGACGTATAATAACTTGTATTTTATATTATTACGCGTCTGGTTGGCCAAGCACGTTGATTTTATAAAATACCTCATACAGTTCAATTATAGCGACCACACTACCGCAGACAAATATAATCAATCCAATAATTAACAGAACAATCCCTCTCCATAGCTTCCATTTCATTGAACCAAGTCCTGGCCTTTCCCAGATTACCAATAAAGTTATAATATTAGGCCAAACAAATGCCATGTTGGCAATACAAAACACGCCCAGCTGAAAAATTAATAAAAACATATTTAATAATTATAGCCGTCAGTCTGATTGCAATATTTATAGCCCCTACCGCACCGTCATGAGTTTCTTTCTCTGGTACAACCGAGCAGTTTAGTAGTACTACGGTCAAAACAGATTGGAGAGATTGTTTTCATCTTTTTCATCATCATCATTTGCATAATCAGCCTGTGATTCTCTCTCTCTCGCTGCTGAGGTTTTCTGATATGAATTTTAAACTACCATTGATGAACATTGAAAGTATGACTATAATGTTACTTACGAAACCCATGAGAGCATTGATGTCCGGAAACACAATCGCAATGCCGCCAATGCAAGCCACAAATATTGCACGGTATAGTAGTTCCCAAAATACTTCTTTTTCCGGGGGGTGACGCTTCTTTAGATAATAAAAAGCCAAATTGAATGGCACCCAAAAGTTCAAAGCATGGGTCACGTAAATCATCGCAGCAATTCCCCCCTTCAACATCTTCGGAACCCTAAAATATAACTCTTTTATGATATTGCATCGTTGCGTTGGTTGACTTTTTTCAAAACCTAGTGTCGAGCACAAAATTTACGTATTTGAGTTTCTATTCTGACAAAGCTACAAGCTAGGCCCACCGCACATGCTCACACTCGCACACCCACTCCTTCGTGATACTGCGCCAATGTCGCTTTGAAATTGTTAGGCACGTGCGTGTCTGTATTTGCTTTCACGAGTCGTACATCGGTGAGTGTCTCTTCTCTACTATTATATATAAGATATTTAATATTTAAGAACAGCACCTGAAGCCAAATGCCATTTAGCGCTATCTCGACACGTGAGAAAAAATACGGAGTTTTATAGTAAGTAAGTTTTAAATACTGTTACTCGCACGTGGCTCGTGACTTTAGGCTTGTGGGTGGTGGGCTATACAGTCTTGTGAAACCACACGCACCGGCTTACATGTACAGTACGCAGCACAAAACGTGTAGTACTAGACACCTACCACCTACACCAATTAGTACAACTTACAATGTCAATGGCAAATTGATCGTAACAGGTGACATAGATTTCTCCAGAAATGCAGCATATCCAAAAAAACCTTCCGCCATTGTGCCCATAATAATTAAACCCATACCTGAATGACAAAAGTAATATAGAGCATGTAAATCAAAATAATTGTAAATCACAATAATTGAACTTTAAATTAACTAAAAATCGAGCGTTACTCAGCATGAGCAGCGTAAGCGGTTGTGACGATGTCGCGCAGTCTATGAGGCCGGTACCCGGTAGTTTTTCTCAGTATATTCACGTGAGTAACCCGCGATTTTTAGTAAAGTTAGTATGTCTCACGATAGTTATTATAAAAGCAGTTGAATTTTAGATGCAATTTTACTTATTTTATGTTTCAGTGCGGCCTAAATACGATAACGAAAATGCCTTTACAATATGTGTTTGAAAAATTGACTGCACAGTCATTTTGTTATAAATAACGGAATTCAAGTTTGGAAATAGGTATAACACGTACCATGTTTGGTTAAGGTTTACTTACCAATAGACAGGGCAATAGGAAACTTGTGCGGTTCTGCCATATTATTTTCTATTGGGATTACCACACCAGAGCATGACATACTGAATACCGCAAGCCCCACGAACTCCAACATCCCATATGGAGTTGTGGCCGCAGCCATTCCTTTACATGTTGGATTAAGTATAATTGCGTAATAAACCACCATGAAAACACAAAACGCTGCAACCAAAAAATTTAATGAGATTTGAAAAGCATAATTTATATGTCGGAGCCGGTCATGAGTTTGGGCGCTAAATGGTATGCAAGCGTCACCTAGCAGATTTCTGGTGCGCTTAGGCAAAGTCGTGGCATCAGGGTGGCACTCGGTAGAGCTCACTTTCGAAGACTTTCTCACTGACGGAACAGTCCTACATTTCGCTTAGTGCCCAGTTACTGTACCTTGTGATTATAAGAAACTCGGTGATGAATTCTAAACGCTTTTCCTATTTACACGATACTCATATCCGCCCCACATTGTGTTTGAGCAATCGGAACATAATGATGTCTCCTCCGACATCAGAAGAGGGATGAGTGTTGACCTTCTACATCGGAATTGGGATGGACCTACGTAATTGAAGATGTTGAAATCATTGGAACCGTTTTGTAACTGTTTTGTAAAAAACTACCTACTTAAAATTGCGACAACGAAGATAGTGCTAGAAAATTGGTAGTTCGTAGCTATACATAGGCACTCAATGGTGAAGATGCAACGTGGCTAACGTTGAGGTAGCTACCTCAAACCGAATTGCAATCCGAAGTAACAAATGAAGACATGACGTGGTGCCCTTTGAAGCCGGAGCACACTGGCGTCCAGTGTATGAGCGGCAGCTGCGGGTCAGGTGACGTGGCATAAGCACAGCGTGAGATATATGGCGTAAACGCAGCGTTTGGTGAGCGGCTGATTCTGATTCTGATTCTGGTGAGCGGCGTGTTGATGTCTGCAGTTGGACACTATTTCCATCAGAATTATACCAGGTTATTTTTTTATATTTTTTTATTATTTTTAAAATAACCTGGTATGATTCTGATGGAGACAGTGTTTGTTCCTTTTATTATGATTCTGATAAGACTGATAAGTACTTTATAGGTCAAAACGAGTCAAAGATTTGAGTTTACCGTTATTAGTTTTCCAATTCGAAATTTTATTTTATTTTTGTCGGGTAGTTATTTAAAGAAAATAGTCATGACGTTTTAGATCCAAGATTATACATGGTCATTAGAATGACACCTGGGCCCCAAGTCTGCTAATTTACGAATGGCTCAATTGAATATCAATTGAATCTCAGTAGCAGTTTTATCTACATTTGGTATTCTGCTATTAATTTAAGACCAATGGTTTTCCAGTGACATACCATTGAACTGCTATCGGAATATTTGCTAGTCTGCTCTTCAATCGTGTTACAGTTGTAAATCGATTGTGGTCTAAATCGGTATTCTACTCTTAGTTGACGTTTGTTTGACATTTATTTCAATGGACACTCAGTGTCAATTTTGCAATTGAAGTACGATCGTAGTACGATTAGACAACAATAGATATTTATAGTACTTTGCAAGCCACCACTTGACAAAATATATTTAAAAGATGCTGCGGTCATTGTTACGATAGCGTATTTTAGCATTAGGTAATGCGCAAGATCGCCGTCGTCACCTTTTTAATACATCTTAAAATAAAAATAATTTAAAACTAAAATATTTACACCTTAAAAAAATAATAAAAATACATCATAATGCACCAAAGAAAACATTTTTCTCATCGCTACCGTGAGGTAGGGTGCCCAAAAGACTGGCAGCCTTGCCACGTTGAATGGCAATGCTTAACCTTTGCCCAAGGTAGTACCCAGCCCTTCGATCACCTGAGGCCTTAGTACGAGTTTGTTTTACGTTTAAAGTAATCGTAACGAGTACGCGTTCGGCGCTGTGATTGGTTGGTTCATTGGCGCCGGCCAATCAGAGCGCCGAACGCGTACTCGTTTCGAATACTTTAAACGTAAATGAAACTCATACTAAGGCCTCTGAAGTGTCAACCATCCTCCTTACAATATCTTTGTAAAGAACATGACTATCCTCCTTCCAATATCCTTGTAAAGAAGATGTGCACTTGGACCCCACGGCCCTAAAGTTTCAACCCCAGACGGTTCGAAAGCATAATTGCCAATCAGGCTATTATACTTTCGCCGTTTGAGGTTCTCGGAATAATGACATACCGTCGGGTCTCTTGCCACGGTTTTTTCGGTTTTTTCTCACCTTTTAAACCTTCCCTAGACTTCCACGAACCTATCAAGACCAAAATTAGCCAAATCAGTTCAGCCGTTCTCGAGCTTTAGCGAGACTAACGAACAGAAATTCATTTTTATTTATATAGATAGATTATAGGCCTCTTCTTTAGTAAAGATACCTAAGCGATGGTTGTGTAATGTAGAACTTCGATTGCAGATACTTATTGCTCTGGCATTCTATGCCACAGGCTCGTACCAGACACTTGTTGGCCAGAGTGCGTCTTAGACCACTGTCTCAAGGGCTGTGAGGCAAGTAACTGAAGCACTCAATAGCATCCTCCTGCAATATGTCATCTGGCCAAAGCATGTTCAAGACCGAAATAAAATTAAGACACAGTAAGCAGGCATCTTACTATGGGGTATTTCATTTACATTCCAACATTTGTGTTTACTATGACTACCTAACTGGTATTTTATGTTGTAGGTTCTATAAATTTGGGATTCTCGGAGTATTAGGCTGCATAGACGGCACCCACATAGCCATCCTGAGACCAGTTGAACATGAGGAGCGATATTTTAATAGAAACCATTCCCTTAATGTTATTGTAAGATATCTTAATATGCGCACACACACTAGTGCACTAGATTATCTCTTGCGTATGTGGCTGATCTTCATTGATATGCTACTATGACTGAAAACATTCAGAGAGTACCTAGGCTAGTAGTATGTTATTGCTTATTGGTTTTATTATAAAGACTTATTAAGTCTATGCCAATAAACCAATTCAATGTTTAGAATTTGTCGTGACATTGACGTGCCAGATGACAGAAGTTTTTATTTAATTATTAACCTGGTCATAGATAACTATGTAATACAGCCACCTCATTTGAAATAAACTCTTTCTGACACGGTTAAGTCATGTTTTATCGTCAAGGCGATTCATTACCGACAATGTAATTCGTTATTGAATAACAGAAAATGATAAAAACGCATATTTAAATTAATAAAATAGTTCATTCACTCATTCAGCTTCTTGATAGATTTTGAATGGCAACACCTTTATCTGTTCAACTGAGAGTCAACTACAATTAGACTACGATTCCATTACGACTCTATTGAGTTTACATTCAAGTTTTTGCAGAATACCAAATTTGTTCTAATCGTAATGGAGTCGTGATTGAATCTCAATTGAATTTCAATAGCATGTGAGTTAAATAAAATTAGCAGACTTGAGGCCCTGATAGTGTTATTTTGTGATGTGTATTGTTAGGTAATATCTCAAGTAGTATTTGGTTTACATTTGGTTGGAGGTATGGTTTCCGCGAGGTAGATGCAGAATTGAGTGGTGCTTGCTGTCTAACGCGGTATAGAATATTGAGAAAAGTTTTCAACAAATAATGCTCAAAAGCTGCTAAGTTTTGAAGAGTCCTCTAAAGTTTTAACTTCATTTAAGATAATAGTTGGGTTAGAGCCTTAGAGGACAGTCAAAGCTCTAAGCAAATCTCATGAGCGGTTGAAAAACATGCTTGCCTTGATCTTGTCTTTAGGATTTGTTGTAATTGGAGCCTTTCAGTAGCGAGTTAATAAATGTGAGGGTAAAACATTCCAATTTATTTGACTGCCTCGTTGACCAACCGGTCGCAGTAGCGACTGCCGGGCAGGGGGTCTCGGGTTCGATTCCTGGGTCGGGCAAAGTGTTACTGGGTTTTAAGAAAAAAATTCTCAGTTGTAGCACGGAGTCTGGAAATGTATTCGGTCTATAGTAATAGGCTCGCCCCTATTGCATGGGACTCATGACGTTGGTGGTGAAAAGTAGATGTTACCTCTGCGTGCGCCTCTGCCTACCTCTTCGGGGATGGAAGGCGTGATGTTATGTATATAGTAAGCCTTTTATTCGGATAACAAAAACAAAAATACTTTATTACATTACGTGAACCCAACTAGAACATTTTTTTTTAATTAAAATTTTTCGCGTATTTGGTGCTTCTTCACTTTTTGTAAATCCGTTTGCCAGTTGGCAAAGGCCTCCTTCAACCTACTCCATTCTGATCTCTCTCTGGCTACTCTACTCCATGTTTATCCAGCGACCTGCCTAATATCATCGTCCAATCTTTTTTGCTGTCATCCTCTTTTCCTATTACCTTCCCTTGGGTACCATTGCGTTAATATTTTGTTCCATTTTTTCTTTCCTTTAATCAAGTGTCCCGACTACTTCCATTTTAGTCTTTTTATTTTTAAGGTTACGTAATACCTCTATATAATATAATTGGTATGTAATATAGTTTATTTTACTGCATCGTGTGTGCTAGTCATAGTCGTCACTGGGGCAGGGACTCAAATCCATACAATGAAACTACAGTCGTGGCTAACTTGTGACTCTGGTGTACTTGCGAGTGACTACCCACACTTAGTGACACTTAGTATTATTGTTAGTGTAATTGTGGTTACCTTGAAAATCATGATGTTGGCTGTTGATCATTTATTTTGATTTTGATTTAAAGGTACTTTGATATGAGATATGGTTCCGCTTTGACATGAGATATGTAGTCAGGTCGGGTTCTGCCTAATAGAGAAAACGCGGAGTAATGAGACTCGGCATTCATTTTTATAGTGCATCTAAAAATGTCTATCGCGACGCATATAAGTTGCGTAAAATTTTGAGAAATCTAATTGTAACGGATGAAATTGAGATACTGTAGTTCTGAGGACGAAGGATGTGGAGAATATCTGATCACTAATCTGTGATCTGTTCCTCGAGAATTTTATGAAGTGTTACAGTGGTACAATTTCCTAAACACATCAATGTCATGTGTTGCACTCAATACCTATTACTCACACTCACATACCCACACTTACATCATATGCACGCTCTCATACTCGGATCGCACCGGCCCTGAGGAACGTGTGTTGACAGGTCTACACAAGTGTGTGTAGACCTATCAACACACGGTGAGTGCACATACACACGCACATGTACTTGAACAATACCCATGCGGATCATGTGGTGATGGACCTGTATGGCAAAGCGCCTGTGTGGCAAAGTGTCTGTGTGGCAAAGTGTCTGTGTGGCAAAGTGTCTGTGTGGCAAAGTGTCTGTGTGGCAAAGTGTCTGTGTGGTAAAGCGTCTGTGTGACAAAGCGCCTGTGTGGCAAAGCGCCTGTGTGGCAAAGCGCCTGTGTGGCAAAGCGCCTGTGTGGCAAGGGTCTAAGTGGCAAAGCGTCTGGGTGGCGAATTGCCTGGGTGGCAACTGGTCATGTGTGTGTGACGTTAGTTAGTTAATATCGTATTGAGTTTATGCAGTTTCAGGTTATCTGTCAGATTATCTTGTCTCTGATTAGATCCTGTTGAGGCGGCTGTTGGCGTTGATGTTTGAGATGAGCGGTGTAGGGCGATACTCCAGTGAGTCAGAGAGATGAGTTTGCATTGTCCCACGGTGAGTCAGGAAATAGATGTTGCGAGGATAGGTGCGTAGTGGCTGGCGTCTGCGTTGACGGGAGATGTCCTTCAGAACCGTGTGCAGAACTGTTGTGCCTAGACGCTGGTGAGGCCGTAGGGAAGAACCAGGCTGCAGCTGCAAATCATCGTTGCAGGCGATGGTGGTCCCTGATGAGGCCGAGGATGCTGGTTGGCTACGACTTGATAACCGCTCAGCGGAGAGAAGTGATGGATGAGAGAGATGGCGATAAGAATGACGGTGCTGAGCTGCTCCGTGAAGTGAAGATTGCTTCCAATCACATCGGGCTCAACACTTTAGGAAACAGAGAGTATTGTTCCTAAGATAAGAAAAGGAGGATCCTTCGACCAGGTGGGGTGTGATCGTACCTGGCGGGCTTCCTGCCCGACTGTTGTTCGTTGGGTTCTATCCATGTTAATTCGCATGTAAAGTTCCCATGTGCGATGTATTATTTTTGTGTCGTCATCCTTTAATTTGTCTATGTGCATGAGTTGTCATGCTGTCATTTGAATTGTGACATGTGTCGCCACTGATGTTTCTCTTTTCGTTCACGTTCTCTTGTGTCTTGTAAGGTTCCCGTTAGAAAAGGGTACCTAGAGTTACTGGGCTATGCACAGCCGTGATTTGGGGGCACGGCATTGCCCCCGCCAAGTCGAGCGCGAAGCAAACACTGCCGTACCATCCTTTACTGGAACCATTTCGCCGTATTTTCAGGCCCCTATTTGAGAACCTCTGGATAAGACCAGAACGCAAAAATTTTCGTCATCCTATAATCAGCTATAATCACATACTTAAAATCAAAAATTTCAAGTCTGCAGGTCATTTTGTTCTGAAGTTAAGCAAAAGCAAAGTTTCGCATTTATGACTCTCACTCACTCATGATCATCAAAATAGAACTAGTACTTCCCATAACCTCAGAGAGCTAAAATTTGGTACAGACATCTAAGATCTGGAGTAACTGGTAATCCTGATTAGATTAAATATAAACTTAACATAACATTACATCACGCCTTTTTATCCCCGAAGGGGTAGGTAGAGGTGCACACTACGGCACTTAATGCCACTGTACAAT